GTCTGTCCATCCATTTATCTACAAATATGTGCAACACACACATTATATAATAGATATTATATTCATATTTATAGTATATATATAAATATTTATTTATGTTTTTATTTGTTTTATTTATCTATCTATTAATTTATAGTAGCAGATGATTACATATAAAGCATTACACAACATACTTCCATTGCCCTGTGCCACTCCACTCGCCTCCGCGCCAGCTGAGGACTTCCTGTGCTGTTTCGCAAAGGTCCTGGGATGGCGCGAGGCCCTGCAGTCAGTGTATCTTGACCAGTTCAGGCCATCTTCGAATGGTGATTTAATGGTGATTGAACCAACACAAATGGTGATTTAGCCAAGAAAAATAGGGATTTCATGGTGATTTCATGGGAATGTCCATGGTTGATGATGGGTAAAACAATGCCATAAACCACCCATGACTGGGAATGGTTTCTAGTAGTTTATACCACCTTTAAAAATGGTGATGACTGGAGGATGGTTTATGATTGTTTTACCCAAATTAGGTCAGTTTCCCACGGGAAACCCATGGGTTTTCCATACTTGGGGGATCCACAAATCGTAATTGATTAGTAACTGGGGTTGGTTCACCCACACATCTCAATGTGATAGTCCCAGGAATGGTGGGCTTACTAGCCATGGAAAAAAAATCCCCTATGGTAATTGGGAATCTCTTTGGACATCTGTTGGTAAATACCTGAAGTGAACAGAAACATATTTAGAAACTGTTCAAGATGCTACGGTAATCCCTTTGGCTTCAACCAAGGAATGGCGGCGTTATCATGACCATCGCTTCCTCCTTCGGAATCTCTGCCGCGCTGACTCAGACGGGCGCCGAGCCTTGTTTTTTTTAATATTCAGGCATGCTGTGGGGGAGGTGTGGTAAAAACAGCAAGAAATAAAATTACTGGTTGGTGGTTTGGAACATTTTTTATTTTTCCATATATTGGGAATAATATGGAATAATAATCCCAACTGACTGATATTTTTCAGAGGGGTTGAAACCACCAACCAGATTACATAAAGTTATCCTTGAGAGGAATTTGTTGTTGGGGAATTGTTTTACTTATATCCAAATCGATCAAATCGAAAATAATTAGGCAGCTAGATTGCAGTTATATCTAACTATTGTTTACTCATGCTGCTTCTGGGCAGAAGAAAACACTTTCTTTGTCTTGTCTTTGAATGGAGGATCATGTATAGCACTAGTTGAGATACATCTTTCAGATGGTTTGAAAATGTGGCCCGGGGAAATCCCAATGGAGGCGCCTTCAATCGCCTTCGTGTTTTTAATGGGAAGACCATCTATCTATGAATCAAGCCATTGAGGATTTGTTTCAGACAGATAGACCTTCAGGAATATAACGGATAGAAAATGATAGAAAGTCCTGATGAAAAGGCGATTTGTTTAAGTGGTTCGGCTGCCCGATTGGACTGAAGATGGTGGGAGTATTGGATGCGGAAAGCATGAGAAACTAGTTCCGCTTCCCCCTATCTAAATACCCATTAAGTTCAGGGATTTTCCAGCTAGCCATGCTTGATTACCGGAGGACAAGTGTACATTGCCCCTACTTAGCCCATTTATAACTAGCGACTATTTATTTGTTAATCAAACGTGCAGTGGATTATGGATATATAGATATATAGATATATAGATATATAGATATATAGATATATAGATATATAGATATAGATATAGATGATTTTCCGATTGAAACCTTCATAAAAATGATGGATTTCCATGGCTTTCCCGACCATCTTTGAGAAAACACCGCGTTGCCGCGGGCACCGGAAAGGGTACCGCTTTCCACGAGGCGCACGCCTTGGCCAATGCCCTACTCTCGGCCGGCCTGAGTTTCGGGCCTTTGGGGGTGCTGATTACACTCTACACGGGCACTGCGCTGCTCACCAACATCATTAGCAACACAGCAGCTTGTTGCAGATCCTAAAATTGTTTTTCGCTTAATTGTCACTCTGAAAGTATATATGGGACAATTGGTGAATCAACTATGCTTTGCGGTGGATATAAGTATAGTTATATTTTGATGGGATGAAAAATATCCAAAGAATTCTGTATTTACGGTAAACCCAATAGTGAGCCATCCCCAAGTCACTTGGTAGGTTTAATTTGGGGTAAAGCCCAGCCCTAGGCGGCTCACCCCACGGATTCTAAGTAGGTTATATCATGTAAAAACTCCCTGGTTAGTGGGATAAGCATTAGCAGCATGGATAAGTAGCGTTAATCCACCTACAACTGGGGGGAATTTGTCCACGAATTAACCTACTTAGAATCCGTGGGATGGAGCACCAAGTCTCCAATGGATTGGAGCGAGCGAGTTGGAGCTACTAATTGAGAGCTTCCCAACCATATGATGGTTGGAGTTGCTGTTTTTTTTTGGGGATGATTTATTGTTCCACTTCTAAATCATTTAATCATATTATTTAATCCACAATTTCGGGAATCCATTAGGAAGATGTTCTGTTTAAACAAATCCAAGGCCACCTGCGTGATGATGATTCCAGTGGCTGCGCATATCTCTGAAGAGCTGCAAGGAATGGAGAATTCTGAATTGAACTTGAATCTCGGCACTGTCGTTGCGATTCTACAGATCTTGTTTCTAGACATGTGGGATATTACGCTTAAAAAAAATGCAATTTTTCAGGAAACTGAGGAGACACCATTGGGTTTTGGGGTTTTACCCAAGACAAAGCTGGAATGAATTGATGATTCGCCGGAGAGGTGATCTGGAAAACCTATGAAAACCTGGCATCCGCCATTCCCGATGGATGCCCCTTCTGATTGGGAAAGCATCATTCCGTATGGATGGTGGGCATTGCGACCTAAATATGATTTATATTGATTTATCTCCTGGGTTTTGACCATTTTTGACCTAAATTCCAGGAAGACGCTGATCATCATGGTCATTCTGGCTTCCAACGCAGCGTTTGCCACACCCCTGGGGTCACCTTGCAATCTCTTGGTGGTGGATGCTGGCGATTATGAATTCCGCTACCTGGCAGTTGAGGTCTTCTCAGTTCTTGCTCGTTTCAAAATTTCGACAGAACTATGCAGATTCAAGCACCAATACTAGTGCGGATTCACCAATGTATGGTAGTAAATACCAAAACAGAAAATTTGAGGGATGTGGTTGATGCTCTAAAACCCTTAAGAAAAAATAGAAAAACAGGTGCAACCACTGCAACCAGTGGTGGAGATAGCCACTGGGGATATCGTTGGTCCTTTGATCCTCCATCCTCGACTTTCATGTCTTTGGACGTGTGCAGACCACCAGTCAAGTTGCGTTTTTTCCTGATGAAAAGACAGAGGGAGACTACTTGTGTTTGATGATGTTTGTCACTTGTTTTTCAAGTCTATATTTGACTGCTACCGGCGACCCCAACAAAATGCTGCCTCGGAACGTTGCCGGTGCAGCGCAGAAGCTTCTCCTAGGAGACTTTCTGCGCTTCGGAGGGATGCTTCAACTGGTCTTGTTAGTGTCAACTTGCACCCTGCTCTACGCGTGTCCGTGTACATAACCTCTGGGCAAACGAGATCATGGCGAGATCATCCAACAAGTTGAACAAGTCATGGTGAAAAATGTCGTGATATTTTCTCAGGTCTTGCCTGGATGGTGTTACTTTGCAGTTTGAATTTTCAGAGACTTTTAGGGCAACTTGAAACAGCAGCTCCGGCGCACTTTTGTCCATGCGCCGCATTTGAAGTAGAGATGTTTCGCCGTTTCGATGTAAGAATTGTTCCGCCAAACCCTGGGAGTCGAGCCAAAAAAGTCGAGAGTTTTATTTGGGTCCTGGCCGTGTTTTTTCCAGCCTGCAGGCAAAAAAACAACAACAAAGATGCCTAGAACAGTGAAATCTGAGTAAGATAGTGGTCATTTACTGTTCGTTTATTCTTTTAGGGGTTTACCAGAATGGCTATAAGTGCAAAGTACCCTAGCCCTAGCCCACGGACAATTCACGGTTCAAAAGCAGTGCTGGGGCCAGCAACCTGAGCCCCTAAGAGCGTTTGTTAAAGCGTACTGTAGCACTTGTAAGCCCAATGATACACCCCAAGATTACAAGAGTTTTACAGTTATCCAACATCCGAGCACTAAATTGCTTGATATACTGTGTGATCGCGTGTCTCTTGTGATTGGGTCTACCAATGCTGGTTAGTGGGTCCATGTTTCCTTGACTACCTGGGATGATGATTTGAGTCCATGTGCATATGGGGATTGTTTCAAACCATCAGCTGGAATGCTCATTGCCATCCACTAGAGACGGTTGAACTTTTTTCACAGCATACAGTTGTATCAATTAATTATACAGATCTAGGGTGTGAGTATGTATGAGTTATATAAGCACCTTTTGTATGTTAACAGCTATGGAAAATCACCCTTGTCAATAAATCATTGGTAAAAGGACAATTTTCCATTGATATGTAAACAGTATGCGCTCTGTCTTTTTTGGGGGGGCGGCGTGCTTCCCCCTCAGCACAACAAGAAAAACGTGACATCCATTACCAGCTCTTTCTGCAATGAGATAGAGGAGGTATGATAGACCCCATCATTTTGGAATTGAATTGGATTCATTTGCGTCTTTTTTTGGGGTTGCTATAATTTGGGAAAAACAATAATAAGCCACCCATTTGGGAATGGTTTATACCAACTATTTATAATTAGTGAAATTGGGGATTGTTTAGTTTATTAATTATTGCTTTAACGACATTAGTCTTCTTTTTAATTCCTCCGCAGGCGCGGGGCTACCGATTTCGTAGCGGGGTCATGACGTCGTAGTGTCGTCGCGTCGTAGCGTCGCGCCGGGCATGGGAGGCGCGGATCTGGAGATGGAGAAAACCGGCGAATGTTGGATATGTTTAGCAGGTCAAAATATGTCAAATCATGGGAAACTATAGGAAAATCCACTATCAATGGAGGTGTCAATAGGACATCCTGGAGTTGCGGAAGAGGATGTTTAATTTTCCCAGGACATGCACTATTTCAAGTGGAGAATTCATGGGTTTATTTTTGGGGGTTCCTGAAGCAAATCCAAAATAGCTGGATCAACTTTAACTGGATAGTTCAGTGCTTTAAGATACTCTAAGGGTTCGCTCGACATGGAGATGTCAGCACAAATCAGCACCAAAAGAAAGGTATCCATGATTGGCCATGAAATGCAGAATGATCAGAATGGTTTCATCTTCAAAATTAATTTTGGTGACCATTGCATTCTCGGGTACCTAAATTTGACCCATACCCCAGGTTGGTTATTATATATAGTTATCGTCCAATTTTCAGATAATATGAGGGGATTGCTCCACTTGGGATTTTAGTTCTGATTACTAGCTATATGTGTTGATGAAATCCAGTCCTTCCATCAGCTACAGTCTACATGATGAAGAAAAAAACACCCAAACTGCCACATCCCAAAGTCACGCATTGCGTCACAGGGTTTGTGAAATGTCCACACTTTCTCAATGGATATTTGTTTATATCCACAGCGAAAGATGCTGGGGATCCCCGGCTTAGGGTCGAATCTTAAAGCTATGGAGACTCCAAAGACGCAGATGAGATGGGTAGGAACTAAACACAACTTGGCTCAGGAAGACTGAACCTGAAACGATTGCAAATGATAGAATCAAATGGGTATAGGTTAAAACATATTAAAACCTCTATTTATAACAGTATGTTTGGAGGCATGAACTTCCTGCTATACCAGCTACTTTGGGGTTCACCAAGGGGGGTCCATGGGTTTTGGCCCATACCAAATTGAATTTTATCTGCGGCTCAAAGTGTAAGGTCCGGATCAAGGGTTAAAACACACAGGCGATCCATACCCCCAATCCATTCCAAAACGCAGGTGACCCAGACCGATCTATATATATATATTATATATATATATTATATATATATATAGGTATGGATCATCGCGGAGCAATCACGCTCTGGTCATCAGTCACATGGCCTGGAAAATCCCGCACAGCTGATGTTCCCAGTCCACGGATTTCCCACGTTTGACACCGCAGAGGCCTCCGAAGCTGCGGAGAGCTGATGGTGGCACCGGCCAGGCGATCGAGCCGAAGCGTGGTAACCTCTGGTAACTTGGAGATCTTGGCACGAGAGACGGTGACTTCAAGCCATGTCGGATCATGCTTTTCCATATTATACTCTCTGGTATACAAAAAGCTATGGAAAATCACCAATATCCATGGGTAAATCAACGAATTATTTCTATGGCCATGTCCAATAGCTACGTTAAATTACCGGATGGTAATCTTTAGTAACTCTGAAAAGGTTTAGGTCTTTGCTTATTGAAATTGACATCCAGAATTTTCAAATTCTTCAATGAGTAAAATTTGTTCCAGATCAGTCTTGTTCCGCGTCCTGTTTCGTTTGGTCGGTTGATGGGTGTCCCCGATATGCTGTAAGGCCATTCCAATGGACAAATGATAAACCGTCAAACTTGTCAAGCTCTTTGTCCAAGAATTGGGTGTTGACGCTGGTGGCCATTACTTGTACCAGTCAGATTTGGAATATGTTTGGTCTCATTTTTGAAGACCAATCAATTGTATTCCACCATATTCCCTATTACCCCCCGCTAATCAAACATGGCTTGCTGGAAAATGCAGAGGGAGAGAGAGAGAGAGAGAGAGTTCGATGATGTTCCCGCCAAGAAAACATCAAAACCTATTCTTTACAGATTGTTCAAAGGATTTTCTAGAATTTGTTGTTTTTTTTCCAGCTATAAACCCTTCATTTTTTGATCCGTCCGGGGATCTACCAGCTTGCGTCTCGATCCCTGGGGAGGACATCCAGGGTGGACCCAGAGGTCTTCCAGGTCCACGGCCAGGCGGATGTCCTTTTCCCGGCCTGGTTGATTAATAGAGGGGTTTGAAGAAACCCTTGGAAACAACATGTAAATGATGATAGATGGTTTGATAAATGTATAGTCCTGTTGACTGGGGATTTTGAAAATCATCTTCCAACAAGTATTTGTTGGTGATTATTATTAATATCTATATGTATATATATATATATCCCCAATAGTTGGGTGAACATCTCAATTAGGATAGGAAAACCAACCCCTGTTGACCAAATATATATATATATATTAGGCTGTCGCTCTAACACGTTTTCTTTATCCATTACTGCTCCCTTAACTTTCCATTACTGCTCCCTTAACTTTCCATTACTGCTCCCTTAAATTTTCCATTACTGCTCCCTGAACTTTCCATTACTGCTCCCTTAAATTTTCCATTACTGCTCCCTTAACTTTCCATTACTGCTCCCTTAAATTTTCCATTACTGCTCCCTTAAATTTTCCATTACTGCTCCCTTACATTTTCCATTACTGCTCCCTTAAATTTTCCATTACTGCTCCCTTAACTGTTCCCTTAGCTTTCCATTACTGCTCCCTTAACTTTCCATTACTGCTCCCTTAGCTTTCCATTACTGCTCCCTTAACTTTCCATTACTGCTCCCTTAACTGTTCCCTTAACTTTCCATTACTGCTCCCTTAACTTTCCATTACTGCTCCCTTAACTTTCCATTACTACTCCCTTAACTTTCCATTACTGCCCCCTTAACTTTCCATTACTGCTCCTTTAAATTTTCCATTACTGCTCCCTTAACTTCCATTACTGCTCCCTTAAATTTGCCATTACTGCTCCCTTAACTTTCCATTACTGCTCCCTTAAATTTTCCATTACTGCCCCCTTAACTTTCCATTACTCCTCCCTTAAATTTTCCATTACTGCTCCCTTAACTTTCCATTACTGCTCCCTTAACTTTCCATTACTGCTCCCTTAAATTTTCCATTACTGCTTCCTTAACTTTCCATTACTGCTCCCTTAACTTTCCATTACTGCTCCCTTAACTTTCCATTACTGCTCCCTTAAATTTTCCATTACTGCTCCCTTAACTTTCCATTACTGCTCCCTTAACTTTCCATTACTGCTCCCTTAAATTTTCCATTACTGCTCCCTTAACTTTCCATTACTGCTCCCTTAAATTTTCCATTACTGCTCCCTTAACTTTCCATTACTGCTCCCTTAACTTTCCATTACTGCTCCCTTAACTTTCCATTACTGCTCCCTTAAACTTTCCATTACTACTCCCTTAACTTTCCATTACTGCCCCCTTAACTTTCCATTTCTGCTCCCTTAAATTTTCCATTACTGCTCCCTTAACTTTCCATTACTGCTCCCTTAAATTTTCCATTACTGCTCCCTTAACTTTTCATTACTGCTCCCTTAAATTTTCCATTACTGCTTCCTTAACTTTCCATTACTGCTCCCTTAAATTTTCCATTACTGCTTCCTTAACTTTCCATTACTGCTCCCTTAAATTTTCCATTACTGCTCCCTTAACTTTCCATTACTGCTCCCTTAAACTTTCCATTACTGCTCCCTTAAATTTTCCATTACTGCTCCCTTAACTGTTCCCTTAGCTTTCCATTACTGCTCCCTTAACTTTCCATTACTGCTCCCTTAACTTTCCATTACTGCTCCCTTAAATTTTCCATTACTGCTCCCTTAACTT